ATAAATAAATTATTATTATTATTATTATTATTATTATTATTATTATTATTATTCAAGGCAGCTTATCACCTATATATAATCTGTCTATCCAGTCATACGCAATACAGTATCTCTTATCCAAAATGCTTAGGTACAGACATTACATATTTCAATTTTTTTAAAGGAATACCTAAATTTGTATATTTGTACATAATGAGATATCTTGCATATGGAACCCAAGTAGAAACATGACATTTATTGTGTTTCATACATACCTTCATATGCATATCCTGGAGGTATTATGGGATTATAACGTTGTACATGAAACACAGTTTGTACACATTCAACCATCAAAAAACAATGGTGCCATTCTCTCAGCCACCCATGAGGAAAATCTTAGATTTGGGAAAAATTTAGATAAGGGATGCTCACTTGTTATCTATTAATATTGCTCTATTTATATAATGCCAGTAGATATACATTTACTATTGCAAAGATCCAAATGATTAGAGATCCATTCAATTCTTAAAATATATATTCAAAGGGGGAAATATTTCTAAGAAGCATAAACTTATTTGAATGTCACTCAAAGATCTGAGACCTGTGATAATAGCAGATATCATTTCAGCTAAAAACTTAGTAGAAATCTGATGTTAGAATTGTAAGCTTAATATTTGTTATAGATTTAATATGAAAAATTGAGTCCCCCAATTGATGTCCCCTTTATCCAAGAGGATGGAAAATCAAGGAAAGGAAGATTAGCTCATATAACACAATAATGTGAATGAGCATGCTTTTGCAAATATTTATGTCTTGTATGATGTTTTCTTCATCAATATTTTTATTTTAGAAGTGGCTATATTTGTGTTTATATATTCAGTAATATATCAAAATATTTCAAGTGCAATCTACCAAAATACTTCAAGTGAAATCTTGTAAACAACTGACTAACTGGCAGCTCTGTATATCATTCAAAACAAGCCAACTGGTGTCAAATATTGGATCATGGACATGCAAACATTTAGCCAACAAAATGTATGAAAGAGGACAGAAAAGGGAACATCTCTTTGATGTTGTGCTGAGAGTGTTATTGAATGTTCTGTGCTATGAGGAAGGAAATAATCTCATCCTTCATCAGTAAAACAGAGCATTTATTTGTCCATTCATCTCTTCAATTAGGACACTAGTGCAGACCAGCAAGTTCCTTCTATCAATGGCCAGAACTGCAGGCAAAATCTTCCTGTCATTTATATGCCATCTATATTATTCAGGGCTCCTCAGAAGCAGGGGAACAAATCTTTAGTACCATGACATAACATATTCTGGGCGACCCAAAATAGCATGCTAACTTTAAATATGTGCATGCTAACTTTAAATATGTGTTGGGATAAAATGTGGATTGAATGTTAAGAAGAAATGCAGTTCTTATAGGAATATTTGGCATCTCTATCAAGCAGTATGCAGGATAGCCTGTGCAATATCACCTTCAGGTATAAAACAGGGGGAAATACATAGGATGCTCTTATAAGATTAAAAGAAGAAGAAAAGTTAAATTTGTTGTTTCAGGAAATCCATCCTAGGATATGAAAAGAGAAAGACAAAAGAAGAAAAGAGGTTTTCAGTAGAAGAGCCCCTAAGGCTGGCTCTCAGGTGTTGATTTAAACCAGTGGTTCTCAACCTGTGGTCTGTGGACCACCAGTGGTCCGTAAGAACTAAATTATATCCATGGCCTCACTGTTACTACACCGTTGCAATGAGAGTGACTGGTCTCACGGACCCCTTTTATAGTGCCGAGGCTTATTAAATATGCTTTTCTGTGGGCGAGCAGATGGCGACTACTGGATAACATATGTTCTGTATCAGAAACTAGAGCTGATATGGTCTATCCAATTCAATTTTCTGAATCAACACTCCAAACAACCAAACTGAATCTAAAGTTGACCAAAAACTGATTTGTAACCCTTTTGATACTAATGTTGGAGAGTGGTCCCTGGTCAAGTAGTCCATGGTCAAAAAATGTTGGGAACTACTGATTTAAACTATACTGAAGCAAGAGCTTCATGGATAATCCATCCCAGACAAAGGACTAACTAATCCTTTGGGGTGACATCTGCAGGCAGGAGGGAAGCCAAAAGACTTAAGTATATAGATCAGTGGTTCTCAACCTGGGGTCCCCAGATGTTTTTGGTCTTCAACTCCCAGAAATCCTAACAGCTGGTAAACTGGCTGGGATTTCTGGGAGTTGTAGGCCAAAAACATCTGGGGACCCCAGGTTGAGAACCACTGATATAGATCGAAGAAAGAAATGAATCTCCACAGAAATCCAGTTGGGTGACCTTGGGCACCTTACACTCAACCTCAAAGGTAGACAAAGACACCCCCACCCGAACAAATTTTGACAATAAAGCCTCAGGATTGGTTTGCCTTAGGGTGGCAATATGTCAGAAATGACCCCCTCCCCTCAATCTTGGATCTTACTGGGACAAACTTCCCCCAAATCAAGCGTAGTTGATATAAGATGACACGACAAAAAACAAAACAAAACATATGTTTTTGACTATGCACACTTTGGTAATTTCTGGATTACAGAATTACAATGTGTTTTATGAAATCATACAGAAAATTTAAGTAAATTCAAAATTCCCAACCAAACAGGAATCATAGTTTAGCTATCCTGAAATAGCTGCTTTGGCTTCCAGCCCCTTTCTGGAAAATGTTTTGAAATTCATTATGGGATCTCAATGAGTATCTTATTAGTAAATATCACCTATTCATGACATTGATTACTTTGCTAAACTGTAGTTGCTAAATTAAAACGTAGTTTCCTACTCCATCAAATAAAATGGGCCAGTTTTATGTTTTTTCTATTAAGTTGTGCCCAATCCAACCGCACTGTTTCTTTTAGTGATAGCTATTATGATAGTTGGAATTCCGAGATTTTTAGTTTGAGGAGATTTATGCATCTCTGTCAGAGAGGTCTGGTGCCATAATAAACTACAAACTCCATAGGTACGTATCTCCTCCTATAAAACATCTCAGAGATTAAGATCATCTGGGGAGGCCCTGCTCACGGCCCCACCTCTTTCACAGATGCATCTAGTGGGAATGAGAGACAGGGCCTTCTTAGTGGTAGCCCCTCGGCTGTGGAATTCTCTCCCCAGTGATATTAGAGCAGCTCCCTCCCTCCTGGCCTTCAGAAGGAAAGTAAAAACTTGGCTGTGGGATCAAGCCTTTGGAGATTAACACTGCAATAATAGCTACGGGATTACATGCAAAGACATTTGGAACAAGCCCAAATTATGATTGTGGATAGTGTGATTTTAATAGTGATTGCAATGTTTTATAGGTTTTAATCTGCATTTAATTTTAATTTTTAAATTTTCATTTTAATGTATTCTAACTGTTGCTGTTCAAAGGCACTGAATAATTGTGATATGTAAAGTTGCCTTGAGTCCCCTTTGGGGTAGAGAAAGGTGGGATACAAATAAGAGCATATAAATAAATAGCTCTCCTGATGCAGCGAGTTAAACTCCTTAACTTGCTGACTGGAAGGTTAGCAGTTTGAACCCGGGAAGCAGGGTGAGCTCTCACTATTAGGCCCAGCTTCTGCCAACCTAACAGTTCAAAACCATGCAAATGTGATTAGGTCAATAGGTACTGTCCCAGCAGGAAGGTAATGGTGCTCCACGCAGTCATGCCGGTCACGTGGCCTTGGAGGCGTCTATGGACAGTGCCAGCTCTTTGGCTTCTAAATGGAGATGAGCACCAACCCCAAGAGTCAGACACGACTGGACTTAATGCCAGGGGAAACCTTTACCTTTTAAATAAATAAATATGGACAACCTGGAACCTGTCCAACCAAAATGATCAATTGCATTCAAAGCACCCCTGACAGATGGCCATCCAGCTTCTGTTTAAAAGCTTCTAAAGAAGGAGCCTCCACCACACTACGGGGTAGAGAGTTCCACTGCTGAACGGCTCTCACAGTCAGGAAGTTCTTCCTAATGTTCAGATGGAATCTCCTTTCTTGTAGTTTGAAGCCATTCTTCTGCGCCCTAGTCTCCAGGGCAGAAAACAAGCTTGCTCCCTCCTCCCTATGACTTCTTCTCACATATTTATACATGGCCATCATATCTCCTCTCAGCCTTCTCTTCTTCAGGCTAAACATGCCCAGCTCTTTAAGCTGCTCCTCATAGGGCTTGTTCTCCAGACCCTTGATCATTTTAGTCGCCCTCCTCTGGACACATTCCAACTTGTCAATATCTCGCTTCAATTGTGGTGCCCAGAATTGGACACAGTCTTCCAGGTGTGGCTTTTTTTTTTTGCCGCCGCATCACATTGTTATCCACGAGGACTTGTTATCCATGAGGACTACAAGATCTTTTTCACACGTACTGCTCTCGAGTCATGTGTCCCCCATTCTGTATCTTTGCATTTCATTTTTTCTGCCTAAGTGGAGTATCTTGCACTTGTCCCTGTTGAACTTCATTTTGTTAGTTTTGGCCAATCATTTCCCTAATCTCTGAAGATCATTTTGAATTCTGCTCCTGTCTTCTGGAGTATTGGCTATCCCTTCCAATTTCATTTTTTCTGCCTTAGTGGAGTATCTTGAATTTGCCACTTCTCTGTTTGAGATAGTCTGTAGTGCCTTTCATGTTCCATGATTCGTGTTTGGAAGGCTGTTGGGAATTGTGGGAGTTGAACTGCAAACCACCTGGAGGGCCCAAATTTGCCCATTGCCTGTTCTGGATGGTAGGAGCTGTTGGGCAGTGGATTATGCTGCTTCCTGGGCGTGTGGCGTAGAAGAGGCGGGGGTGGGGGCTTTGAACTGGGTGTCCCTCCATGGCAGAGGGTGGGACTGCCCCCCCCCCCCCCGCGGTGGCTTGGTCTTCTCCGAGGTGACACTTGCCAAGGGCTCCCCCTCCGCGCCCTCCCCTCCCTCCCTCCCTCCCTCCCTCCCTGCCGGGTCCAGCGCCTTCCCAGGCCTCCCAGCCCCCACCAGTGCCTCCCCACCGAGTGCTGCTCACGCGCCAGGGCAGGGTTTAAAGCCAGGGTCCCTTCGGCGCGCAGATCCGGTCCAAGCAGAGAGGCACCTTGGAGAAAGAGGAGGGGGAGGAGGAGGAAGAGGGCGGCGGCGAAGGCTCTCTCTCTCTCTCTCTCTCTCTCTCTCTCTCTCTCCCATTCCGCCTCTGCCTCCTCCAGCATCTCCTTTCCTCCCTTCTCACCTGTATCCTTCGCGGCGGCTGAGAAAAGGCGCGCGTCTTCGGGTGTCATTTTTGGTGCCGGCTTCTGTCGCCGCGCGCGAGCGCTTCTCAGCCCAGGATTTGCCTCAGGTGCCCTCCTTCGCCTCAGGTCGGACCCCTCCCCAGCCCTCCGCCAATCAGGAGCCAGAGGGTTCTCCTGATTGCCTTGGCCTCCCTTGTGGGGAGGGGGAGAGAGAGAGCAGCCCCCTCGGGTTAACCCTCTCCTCGCCCTGACTTCCCCGTTCTCCTCCCTCTCCCTCTAGGTGCAACCATGCAGCTGGCCCTGCTCTTCGGCGGTGAGTATAGTGTCCCCTGGATGGATGGATGGGGTCAGGGCAGGCAGCAGGGGCCAACTTCGGCCTTCCCTCCAGGTGTTTTGGACTTCAACTCCCACAATTCCTAACAGTCTCAGGCTTAAGCGGCTAAAGGGGGAAAGGAAAGGGCCTGAGGCTGTTAGGAATTGTGGGAGTTGAAGCCCAAAACACCCGGAGGACCCAAGTTTGCCCATGCCTGATCGATCTAGTATCTCTTTTTCAGAGCTGGGTTGGTAGGCTGTTAGGAATATTGGGGAGCTGAAGTCCAAAACACCTGGAGGGAAAGGAAGGGGCCTGAGACTGTTGGGAATGGTGGTAGTTGAAGCCCAAAACACTTGGAGGGCCCAAGTTTGCCCATTCCTGATCGATCTATTATCTCTTCTTCAGAGCTGGGTTGGTAGGCTGTTAGGAATTGTAGGAGCTGAAGTCCAAAGCACCTGGAGGGCCCAAGTTTGCCCTTGCCTGATCTAGTATATCTTCTTTAGAGCTGAGTTGGTAGGCTGTTAGGAATTGTAGGAAGTCCAAAACACTTGGAGGGAAGGCCAAAGTTTCCCCATGCCTTGCTTAGGGTCTCACTTCCACCCCATCCTCCATCATTGATGTATTGAAGTTTCAAGGAGGGGACCAGATTTTAGCTTTGGTGCCCTTCAGTTCCTAGAGTTTGGTGACCAGCCTCTCCTTTTTCCCCTTTTGGATACAGGTGTCCTCTTTTTAGTCAGCCCTGCAATGGCCTCAGGTAAGTGCAAAGTAATCTCTTTTCAATGTTTTGTAGAAGGTTTTCATGGCCGGAATCACTGGGTTTGCTGTGAGTTTTCTGGGCTTTATATTCATGTTCCAGAAGCATTCTCTCCTGTTGTTTCACCCACATCTATGGCAGGCATCCTCAGAGATTGTGAGGTTTGTTGGAAACTAGGCAAGTGGGGTTTATATACAGTAGAGTCTCACTTATCCAATCTTTGCTCATACAACGTTCTGGATTATCCAACGCAGTCTACCTCCCACCTGGATCCACAGCTGTTTCATTACAGTGTGATGTTTTGGTTCTAAATTCATAAATACAGTAATTACTACATACAATTACTACATAATGTACATGTTTTTTCTGTTGATTTGTTGCATAACATGTTTTGGTGCTTAATTTGTAAAATCATAATGTAATTTTATGTTTAACAGGCTTTTCCTTAATCCCTCCTTATTATCCAACATTTAAGCTTATTCAATGTTCTGACAGCCCATTTATGTTGGATAAGCGAGACTCTACTGTATCCAGGGTGGAAGAAAGAACTCTTGTGAATGTTGCAATTGATCACCTTGATTAGCATTGAATAGCCTTGCAGCTTCAAAGCTTGGTGCCTGGGGGATCCTTTGTTGGGAGGTGATTAGCTGGCCCTGATTGTTTCTTGTCTGGAATTCCCCTGTTGTTTGGGCATTCCTCTTTATTTACTGTCCTGATTTGGAGTTTTTTTTAATACTGGTAGACAGATTTTGTTCATTTTCAAGGTTTCTTCCTTTCTGTGGAAATTGTCCTCATTCTTGTGGATTTCAATAGCTTCTCTGTGTAGTCTGACATGGTGGTTGTTAGAGTGGTCCAGCATTTTGGTATTCTCAAGTAATATGCTCAAATAATAAAACCCACTTGCCTAGTTTCCAAGGGAAACCTCTGAGGATGCCTGCCATAGATGTGGGTGAAACATCAGGAGAAAATGCTTCTGGAACATAGCCAAACAACCCGGAAAACTCACAGCAACCCAGTATTCTCTCATGTTTAGCTGAAACTCTTGACTCCCTTTGCTTTGTGTTTATTAAGAACTGGTCAATGTATAATGAGAAAAGTTTGAAAGAATGCACTGCTGCCCTTGGATCTCTCTACCTTTTCCACTGTAAATAGGAGATTTATTCCTACACACACACACAAAGGTTTCTCCAAGAAAGGTTTTGCTTTGGAAGACAGAATAATCATGCTTATTTTTGCACTCGCTTCCAGTGTCTCTCTCTCTCAACACACATCTCTTTGCTATTTCATTCATCACTCCCCTATCAGATGTGGCTCTTCCTTCTGTAAGCTTCATTTTTCTTCTTCCTGAAAATACTTTTGTTTGAAAGCTGAGCCCCCTTCCACAAGCTGAATAAAATCCCATATTATCTGCTTTGAATTGGAATATGTGGCAGTGTGGACACAGGGCCCTTCCACACAGCCATATAACCCAGAATATCAAGGCAGGAAATCCCATAATATCTGCTTTGAACTGGGTTATCCGAGTCCACACTGCCATATATTCCAGTTCAGAGCAGAAAATGTGGTATTTTACTCAGCTGTGTGGAAAGGGCATCAGCTAATCCAGTTCAAAGCAGATATTATGGGATTTTCTCCCTTGATATTCTGGGTTATTTGACTTAAGCAGCTGAAAGGGGAAAGGGCTTGAGGCTGTTAGGAATTGTGGGAGTTGCAGTCCAAAACACCTGGAGGACTGAAGTTGGTCCATGCCTGTTCTATCTGCTACTGAGGGTGTGGACTCAGATAACCCAGTTCAAAGCAGATATTGTGGGATTTTCTGCCTTGATAATCTAGGATATAGGGCTGTATGGAAAGGCCCTGAGATTCAGCTACTTACTTCATTACTGTTACATCTGAATGTTACCATGCATTGTTCATGTTTGTTAAAATAACTTTTTATTGCCATTTAGGAGGGATGACAGTTTAATTCTTTGCCGTTGATGTGATTTTTGTCACTTTGTAAACTTGGTAACACGGTTTTCTTATTGAGCTGCAGCTCAGGTGTTGCATTTAAGACTTAAGATATTTTGCTTATAGTGGTAAAGATGGCTACTTGTGGTACTTTAGGTCCACGATTGGGCCTGCTACTGTACAGTTAAGCTAAACTCCAGATTTGTTGGCATCGAGGCCGCAATATCCCTTTTGTCAGTTATTGTCTGGGATTGCCTTAGGCCTCTTCCACACAGCTGAATAAAATCCCACATTTTCTGCTTTGAACTGGAATATATGGCAGTATGGATTCAGATATTCCAGTTCAAAGCAGATATTGTGGGATTTTCTGCCTTGATATTCCAGGTTATATGACACATGACTATGTGGAAGGGCCCTTAGAGAGGCATGTATAAATCTGGTGGAATAGAATCTTCTTTGATGTTTTGACGGTAATAGTTAAATCAATTTATTAAATTATAAAAAACTGTAAAAACAAATTTTTGGAATACTGATCGAAGGTTTAGTGCCACTTAAATGTGCACTAGTATACAACTGTGTCACTAGGAAGAGTCTAGGAAATAGATTAGAGAAAAACATATTGTATGTAGAGCCTTGTAGTGAGCAATATGGCCTATAAAATAGATTTAAATAATGTACTTGGAGAAAATCAAGTGAATCTTCACAAAAGCTCTATACCTTGAGATAATCAGAAGCAATCAAAGACTTAGAGACATGTAGAGGCCTGAGTGTTGGACTGCAACTCTGGAAACAGGGGTTTGACTCCTCCCTTGCAAAGTCACACTCTAGAAAACTCTGTTTTCTCTCCAACTTATGGAGACCTTGGTGTCTCCATAAATTGGAAATAACTTGAAGGCATGCAACAACAATCAAGAGCTTGAGATTTTAATACACTCATTATTTGGAACTGAAGAAATGGAAGGAAAAAGGAAGAGTGGCCAACCAAGGGCAAGATGGTTGTTTGATATCCTTGAAGTGACTGGCTTGACTTTGAAGGAGATGGGGGTGGCCAAGGCTAGCAGGGAGCTCTGGCGTGGGTTGTTCCATGAGGTCACAAAGAGTCGGAAGCAACTGAACTAATAAACAACAACAATTTGGAACTGATGAAAATATTATTGGAGTGAATGCCTAAAAGGACGTGTTACATAATTATGTCACAAAAATCTGAAATTCTACAATTTAGAACAACAGATTTGTAAGCTATAGTTTGCTCCTCTGGAAGAACAGGGAAAAAAGCAGACCTTTTCTACTAAAAATAGAGGTGGAAAGAGGTGTTGCATTTCTAAATTCTGTTAACACCAGAAGGAGCAAACGGAACTCTCTCTAAAATGGTGAGTGAAGACTTTGGTGTGTTTTAAACACAAAATATGTGAATTTGATCTTTGAGGACTGAAAATTCATCAGATATGGGAGGAGTTGGCAAACTCTTAAAGGACCTACGTAACTGTAACAAAGGTTCGTTGTACCAAAGGAATCTGTGGGGAAAATCAGTAATGTAAACTAGTTTTCTTTTTATTCTTGAACAAATACAGTGAAAGCCAACAAAGGAGTAATATCTCTAGGAGAGAAGGATGTTGAAAAAGAAGGACCAAAAGTGTCCTCTAAGTGTAGAGTCATTTTATATAAATCTGGTAGCATCTAAGGATAGCTGGAAATTATATATCAAAAAAATTAATGTATTATGTATGATATGATTTCATTGGATAGTAAAACCAAAAGTTACAAATTTCTGCTCTAGTATCTCATGCTATTATGTAGTCATTTACACATTTGTATTCCTATATTGTCTCACTTGGAAGGACGATATGTATAATATTACATTGCACAAGTAGAAATTATGTTGCACTGTAAACTTTCCAGAAAAAAATGGCAGTTTGTTCCATATCAAACTTCAGATACCTTAAATTACCAGTTATGCCCATACTTTGGGAAGTCGGACTTGGCCACGATGGTCCACACTCTTGTTACATCCGAAATAGACTCCTGCAATCCACTCTATGTGGGGTTGCCTTTGAAGATTGTTTGGAAGCCAGATTCCTCACTGGAGCAGTGTATAAGGAGCATACAACCCCCTATAACATCAGCTCCACTGGCTGCCAGTCTGCTACCAAGCACAATTCAAAGTGTTGGCTTTAGCCTATAAAGCACTGAACAGTTCCGGCCCAGCTTACCTGTCTGAATATATTTCTCTCTATGAGCCAGCTAGGAGGTTAAGGCAGAAAATCTCACAATACCTGCTTTGAACTGGATTATCTGAATCCACACTGATATGTAGGATTTTCTGCTTTTATATTCTGGGATACAGGGCTGTGTGGAAGAGCCCTGAGTGGTGGCCCTTTACCTATGAAACTCACTCTCCAGCGAAATTAGAGCCTTCAGAAAGCAAGTAAAAATGTGGTTGTGGGACCAAGCCTTTGGTTCACAAGCTTAGCGCAATACGCAAACATGGAATACAGATATGACAATATGGAACGGTCTTGATTTACGATTTTGGACGGTGTGATTTTAATAATTGGTTTTAATATTCATATGTTTTAAGTGTTTTGTTTGTTTATTTGTTTATTTTATTGTTTGTTTGTTAGAGGCTTTGAATTGTTGCCTACCTGTAGGGCCGCCCGGAGTCTCCTTCGGAGTGAGAGGGCGGAATACAAATGTAGTAAATAAATAAATCAATAATAAATAAATTATTCCTTAATTCCATAACAGTTTTAAATACTCAAAGAGTTGTAAGTACAATTTTTCGTGGAAATATGTGAGGAACATCCATATAGATAACAGACCTACAGATTAAGCTTCTGGCGGATTTCTTTTTTACATATCCGGCTCCACCCTTTTCTTCCTTGAAATCTGCTTAGCTGGGAGTTTTCACCAGGAAAGTCATTGTTAGGATGATTAAGGAAATTTGGAAATTGGGTTGCATGTTGACTTGAGTTGGAAAAGAGTAGGATTTTATTCTAACTGATCAAGCTACAGCTGTATGTATTGGGCTACAATAGGCAAGGTAATAAATAGCAGCTGCCAATACAATATTTAATAAAACAGAGAAAAAGAGATAGCAAATAAGTCTGCTTTACCATCTATTCCAGTATAGAAACCACAGATCTTTAAATTTGGCCCTCAAAATAGAAAGTGGAGATTGATGAAAGAGAAGATCATACAAGAAAGCATTTGGAAGAAGCCTTTACTTGCACTCAAGATGGTTACAATCATTTTTGTTTACTTATTCAAAGTTTATCTGATCTGTCTGTTTCATTATAGATATGCATGTTGTTAGTTTGAGATCAGACAATCTGCAGGAATGCATTAAACATTTATTATTATTATTATTATTATTATTATTATCGCAACAAGATTAGTACAGCAAACAAGATCACTATGCTGGCTGTTGTATTGGATCACACGTTGGACACTTCCCAAGTGTCTAGGACTGTGTGATGTATCAGCGAATAATGTGTGTAGATCCAAGTAAGGTGGCCTTTTGCAGCTGGCAGATTATAATTTTGTATTATTATTATTATTATTATTATTATTATTATTATTATTTGAGGTGCAAGGACCTATCCATCTTCTTTCTATATTATTTTTGTTTCTGGTGCCAAATTTTCTGTTAAAAAAGTAGAATTGTGGAGCACATCTACTTCACAACTTGGAGCATTCCTGTATCTTTATATTGTTAGGAAGAATTTTGGAGCCCCAGGTGGCGCAATGGGTTAAATGGGGCGAAAAGGAAGAATTTGTACCCAGGTGTTCATTAGCACATTATAAAAAATATAAACAGATATAAAAGCACTATCAACCAATTAGGACTACCTAACCTACATGGAGCCCCCGGTGGCGCAGTGGGTTAAAGTGCTGAGCTGCTGAGCTTGTGGACTGAAAGGTCGCAGGTTCGATTCCGGGGAGTGGCATGAGCTTCCATTGTCAGCTCCAGCTTCTGCCAACCTAGCAGTTCGAAAACATGCAAATATGTGTAGATCAATAGGTACCGCTCCGGCAGGAAGGTAACGCCGTGCCATGCAGTCATGCTGGCCACATGATCTTGGAGGTGTCTATGGACAACACCAGCTCTTCAGCTTAGAAATGGAGATGAGCACCACACCCCAGAGTCAGACACGACTGGACTAAATGTCAGGGGAAAACCTTTACCTTTACCCTAACCTACATAATGATTCTGAAAAATATTGATCCATGATAATTTCAAAAATAGTACACTTGCTGTCCTACCTTGAACATCTTATTTGAAAAGCTATGCAGTTAATATTTGGATGGGAGGCCAATAGAGATACTGTATCAGAAATTATTTCAGAATATTGAAAACTCAGTTAAATTTTTAATTGTTTCATTGGGAAAACCTGAAATATAACTAAAACCATCTCCAAACAGCCCCCCTCACCGAAATCAAACTTAGCCCCCCCCCGAATCAAACTCAGCCCCTCCCCCCAATAAAAATCCTGGCTACGGGCCTGCCTCATGCAGTTTGTTTCCCTAGTGCACAAGGCAGTAATACAATTAATAACCCCTAAAGCTAATATAATAATATAATAATAATGCTTTTGAGCTGTGGTGTTGGAGGAAAGTTCTGAGAGTGCCTTGGACTGCGAGAAGATCCAACCAGTCCATCCTCCAGGAAATAAAGCCCGACTGCTCACTGGAGGGAAAGATACTAGAGACAAAGTTGAAGTACTTTGGCCACATCATGAGGAGACAGGAAAGCCTAGAGAAGACAATTATGCTGGGGAAAGTGGAAGGCAAAAGGAAGAGGGGCCGACCAAGGGCAAGATGGATGGATGGCATCCTTGAAGTGACTGGACTGACCTTGAGGGAGCTGGGGGTGGTAACGGCCGACAGGGAGCTCTGGCGTGGGCTGGTCCATGAGGTCACGAAGAGTCGGAGACGACTGAACGAATGAACAACAACAAAAGCTAATATGAATTCCAGGGAGTCAGTGGAAATTAACTGATCTGCTGCATTTTGAATGGGCTGCAAACACATGACAGATTTTTGCTAGAGCAAAGACATCCAGCCTAAGGCCTGTCACAAACTTCCAGAATCCTGGCAGCAAATGGTGCCAAGGACCCATGGGTTTTTGAAGATTAAACAAATACAAGATTTCACTAATACACTGCTATGAGGTTAAAATGACAAATTAGGATCAAAGAGAACACCCTTTTTCTCATTGTAAGGACCAGCCAGTTTCAAAGCCTCTGAAAATATTAAGGTGTATTGTATTTCACTGTGAATATTCTGGGTCATAAATTAGCCCTCACAACAGTTTCTTGCAGTAGGCATATTTTTTTTCTGAATAACCTGCAATTATAGTTTTTGGAAAGGCTTCTAATGGTTATCAAAATGACTTGTAAATATTACTATCAATAATAGATCCCACCTAAACACTAGAAATGACCTTTATGACTTTAACAGCTATTTGATAGTGGAATATGCTGTGTTGAAGGGCTGCGGAGTCTCATTCCCTGGAGGATTTTTAACAGATGCTGGGTGGCCATCTGTTGGGGGTGCTTTGATTGTGTTTTTTCCTGCATGGCTAAATTGGGTTCTACCAGATGGTCCTCATGGTCTCTTCCAACTCTATGATACTATAAGGCAAACACATTTATCTTTTGGGTTGCTGTGAGTTTTCTGGGCTGTATGGTCATGTTTCAGAAGTATTCTCTCCTGATGTTTCACCCACATCTATGGTAGGCATCCTCAGAGGTTGTTATTAAAGAGGAGACAACACAATGACTAGCCATGCAGGAGAGGAAAGGGTAGTTCAGTCTAAACAAAGAGAACCTTTGAAGATGCCAGCCACAGATGCAGGCAAAATGTTTGGAGAGAATGCTACTAGAACATGGCCATACAGCCCAAAAAACTCACAGCATCTCAAAGGGATTATGTTTTACTGTCAGTGTGTGATGGCATTAAGATCATATACCCTACAGCAGATGGTATGTTGATTTTTTTTGAAGAGGCACCATTTTATATGTCATTTCATTCTTTTTCTCTTCAGTGCCCACTGCCATTACGTGTTTCACCAGAGGGCTTGATCTCAGAAAGGATAGAGCAGATGTCCTTTGTCCAGGCGGCTGTCCTATGTATCAGTTCCAAGTCTATGGAAATATTGTGTATGCCTCCGTTTCCAGTATCTGTGGAGCAGCTTTGCACAGGTAAGTCTGATTATCAATAACGCAATGGAAATTAGGGGTGAATTGCTCATTTCCCTGTGCAGTCCACCTTGTTCTGTTCTGTGACCTAAAAGTACATAACACATTACTGACTCAGAAAAGGCCTTTGCTTTCCATTCATACAATTTTAACTTTTATTGTGGAAAATAGGTGGGATATTTTCAAAAGGACAAACATTTCTTATGCCTGGCTATATTCTGATGTTAGAAACAAACTTCAATAACATGAGTGTTGTATAGGAATGTTTTTAAAGTAATGGGAAATACATTAACTTATTATCCTACAATAAAAATGTGATTCATTGGAAAAGACTGAGAAATGCTGAGAAGAGTGGAAATGAGGAAGACCACACAATAGATTGTCTTAATAAAGACACCTGCATTTGAAAAACTTTTTCCATCAGATGCCATAGGTTGACTTCTCCTGCGGCTCCGTGGGTGAACTGAGGCAGCACCATAGTAGGGCACTGTGCCATGTATTAGGAATAACAGGGCTACTGTGGTCTTAAGCCATGTGGTGACATTTCCCCACATGTGATAGGAAAGCATCAGCTGCTGGTCAGGGCTCTGGGGTTGCCCTGCTACTGCCCCGATTTGCCACTGAGGTTGCCGAATCACAATGCTGCACCTCATCCACAGGAGCTGCGGTGGTACAATGGATTAAACCCTTGTGCTGGCTGAACTGCTTACATTAAGGTTGGCAGTTCAAATCTGTGAGACGGGGTGAGCTCCCATCTATCAGCTCCAGCTTCCCATGCAGGTACATGAGAGAAGCCTCCCACAAGATGGTAACACATCTGGGCGCTTCCTGGGCAACGTCCTTGCAGACAGCCAATTCTTTCACACCAGAAGCGACTTGCAGTTTCTTAAGTCACTTCTGACATGATACAAAAAACTCTCATCCATGTGGTGAGGTCCTTGATGGCACATGGTGAAAGGATTTTCAAAGGTACCTCTTGAACCTCTTTCATTAGGACTCAGTAGAAAACTCCATCTTGAATGGTGCCATTTCTATAATATTGCTGCCTGAAAAATACACTTTGGATGAGGCAACAGACTTTTGAAAATGGCACTCTTCAAGATGGAGCTTTGATGAGAAATATAAGGACATGGTTGTGCCTTCCTTTAATCTGTCCCTATGATCCAACTAACATTGTTAGTAAAAGGGAAGTTTTTTGGCACATTCACTGACAATATTAGACATACTCCAGGATTCACTACTCCTGAGAAGCACAGTCTTGATCTCCTTTAATATTGGATTCCACTAATAAATTTGGAGGAAAATTCTCAAGGTCTAAAAAGAATTCGAGATGATTTTGCTTCTGCCCAATCTGTAGAATTCCCAATTTTAAAGAGACTTGAATTTTTGAGATCTAATAGTAGTGTCAGCCATAGTGACATTGACAATCTCAGTTATCATTTAGAATAATAATTCCAAACAATTATAGAGGTGGTTTTAAGCTGTAACATTGAGATTTGAGCCCCTTATATTCATTAGGTTTTTTTGTCAAGTGGTATCAATATCTTATAAGGGAAGGGTAGTTTGATTTATTGAGCAATGTGCACTCCAGAAACGGAACTCTTTGTTCAGATTTTGATTTCTGTAAGGAACTATGACTCAACTTTTATATTGCCATATGGAAAAGATGAAATAAGGTAGTTTGGTATGAAAAGAGGTCTAAGGGTACCAGTTAAATGTTAATTAGAAGCATCATTTTGGTATTGATACAGTTGGACGAAGTAGTTGCATCTGTCACATATTGTTCTGTTTTGTGTCTGGAAGTGTTTACTAACACTTCTGTGACAGGAGAGAAATTATTTAGATTGAAGCTTTATATAGAAGTTTTTTTTCCTAGCCAAGTTAAAATAGGACTACATTCTGTGGAATAGCTTGCAGTAGTGGATGGATGTCAATAATAAAATATTCCTGGTTTAAAATGTGTATATTAGCATTCTTACATGCGTTTCAAGGTATTTTGCAATACTTCAATACAACAAACATGTTTGTCAAGGAAAATCTTCCATTAGATCAAGTCTGAGCAAGAACACAATACTGGGATTAGTTTCCATTGATTGAGTACTGCCTTGGCACATGCACAGATTAGCACATTGGTTATAAAAGAAAATACATTCCATGTATTGGCTCCTTTCCAGTTGAAAGTCAACTAAATAGTCAAATCTGCTTCACAAAGGCAAGGAGATAGGATCCGTAAACATTTTCACACTTTATCTTTCTTAAACCACTTCAGTAGTATGACACAATCCTAGTAATTAATCTATATAAATAAAAATGTAATGTTCATTTGTGGGATTAACATAACTCAAAAACCACTGGACGAATTGACACCAAATTTGGACATAATACATCTATCAGGCCAACGAGTGACCATCACTCATAAAAACACTGAAAAAAAACAGCAGAAGAAGTTTAAAAAGAAAAAAAACATTACAATGCATGCGCAAAACCACATTTATATACGCAAACACACACATATACACAAATATATATACACACAAAACACACATACACAGACTGGGCCACAGCAACCCGTGGCAGGGGACAGCTAGTTAATTATAAATATATATTTTACTCAGATTATATTCCGAGGTCAGCTGTTATTCAAGCATGCACATAAACTGGATTTGTACAGCATCAGGAAGCAACTTACTAGAAGAATGCAAAAAAAAAAAAATGAAGTTACTCTTTATATCATTCCATTCATTGTACACATCCCCTTTTTGCCTCCATAAATTGAAGCTGCTAAAATCTGTCCATTTGTTTTGCCACCTGCTATTTACATTTGGCTTTTAAAGTGGGACTATGCTCACTGCTGATTACCTCTTCTGTCTCCAGCCTCCCCAACAAGCCGTTTTCAAAGTGAAAACAATAATAAAGACTGACCCTGAATTGAAGGAGATATCCAGCATTGAAAAAGCAATATTTTTGTTCCACAGAAGAACTTTCCTCAGATCCTCTTCCTGCAGCTCTTCATCCATATCTATTACATTTCTCCTGAAAGATGCAGTTATGTGGAGCAGATTGTAGTGTATATCAGTCACTGTGAAAGGAAGAGAAATTGTACGGTGATTTTGGCCTTCTTTGTTCCGGTGATTGAAGCCATTATATCTGCAAATGATCCTGCCTTGGGCATTGAGGAGCAGTTCATAAGTCTCCAGCCACTAGCACTTCTGCTTATTTAGGGCAAGAGATCCTCCAAAGAAGCTGATTGTGTTCCTTGACATTTTCCAGTGGTTCTCCAGCCATTAGCCACTGCCACTTTTTGCATTTGTAATTTGTCAATTCCACCTTATGGTGGCACTAAACCAAAACTATTCTGGCTTTTCTCTGCAAAGTTTCTTCAGAGAAGGTTGACCTTCCTCTGGGGGTGGATCTAGACACCCCCTTTATTGTGGAAACCTCCGCAATAAAAGGGGGGCTGTCCAGACAACGTTCTGGCCAAACCGGAATTAATTTGAAACAAACCAGGAAAACCCTCCCCAAAAGCCCTGAAAAAAACCCTTTTAAAAAGAAATGTACTTTGCCCTCCATTGGAGAGCTGCCATAGCTCTCCAATGGAAGCCAGGTAAGTACTTTTCTTTTTGAAAGGTCTTTTTGGGGCTTTTGGGGAGGGGCGGAGGGTTTCCCTGTCTGGGAAGGCCCTGAGACTGAAAGTGTGATTTGCCCAAGGTCAGCAAGTAGCTTGCCATAGGCAAGCAGGAATATGAATGCTAGTTTCTCAGAGTCCTGTTCCAACACTCAAACAGCTACATCCCATTGACTCTTCTACGTATACAAATGCTCATGGTTGTAGCAAAGTATGGGTTTCCCTTGATAGGTTTCTTGGTTAATCAAGCCTTTTCAAATACATTGCCCTTCACATACACCTGATTTTTCAGGAACTTTCACTTTATAGTGCCTATAAAAGGCAAAAGAAATCCAGTTCCTTGAGGCAACTAAAAAGACTTATTAAATTAATGTGGTTTGTGTAAATGCTTATTTGCCATTAAACAATTAATTCAATAAATCTACCTTAGCTGTGACTGGCAATTATATTTAGACCTTGAGCCACTCATTTATGGAAGAATATTTACATGCAAATATATACACAACTTTGATGTAGAAAAAACAACCAGTTTCATCGCTAATGCTGCCCTTATGTGGCCTCTAAAGCCACACATGGGACAATGCTTAAAGAGCAAGGAATCTAATTCTCTCTTTGCTCAACAGGGGTAAATCATTTCTAACGATGCACACCAGAGCAATAAATTCCACATATTTTAAATGTTCCAAAAAGACTCAAAATGCTCACTACATCATCTTACATTCTTTTCTAGGAATGCATGATGTTGGACATAAAACTAATAGAAGGTCTGTGGTTTTGTTGCTCTTTAGAGCAACAGTTCAATTTCTTTGTTTCTCTAGGGCAGTGGTTCTTAACCTTCCTAATGCTGCAACCCCGTAATACAGTTCCTCATGTTGTGATGCCCCCTCAACCATAAAATTATTTTTGTTGCTACTTCATAACTGTCATTTTGGTACTGTTAGGAATCATAATGTAAATATTTGATATATAGGATGTATTTTCATTCACTGGACCAAATTTGGCAGAAATACCTCATATGCCCACATTTTAATACTGGTGGGGCTGAGGGAATTGATTTTGTCATTTGGGAGCTGTAATTGCTGGTATTTATAGTTCACCTACAATAAAAGAGCATTCTGAACCCCACCAACGATAGAATTGGGCCAGACTTCCCACATAGAACCTCCATGACCAACAGAAAATACTGTGTTTTCTAATGGTTTTTGGCGACCCCTCTGATACTCCCCTTGCGACCCCTCCAGGAGTCCCGATCCCCAGGTGGAGAAACACTGCTTTAGGTGCACAGAAATACTTAATGTAATTTCTCCCAGTTGACTACTGCTATGCATTTATCAATGAAACATTTTAGTGTTTTCATCAGAGTGATATGGCAATAGAT